AGGCAGATTTCAAAGAGCAGCTGCAAGACACAAGTCATCTTCTGCCGCTGTTCTTCAGGGACTCATCTGCTCTCAGACCACAACACATTAAGACCGCTGCTCTAGGACATGTGCAGGCTCATTTTACTTCCGAAAAGAGATGGAAATTCTAGGATGCAACCAAAGAAAGCACGGTCGTGACTCACACTTCATCCTTTTCAAGTATAATAGGACCCCGCATGATCAAAGGAACTCAAGCTGCTCGGTTAGTTGATTACGGGATCCCTGAGACAAGCCTGCGGAGATCCAGGTGCTCCAAGTGTGAGTGCCTCCCTCCCCAGCACTGCTTTCCAAACGGTGGCAAGCTTGCCCCTTAGTGAGATGCTGCCTTTGGCATAAAGCAGATCAGGCATTCCCTGTCCCCGTTGTCATCCCCTGCCTCCTCGCCACCCACTCCCATCTTCCAGATGGGGTTCCAGTTTTTTGGACCAACTGCAGCGATCCAGTTTTCAGTGGGACCACACAGACAGTCGTGCTGGTGTGGGCAGGGAAGGGGCAGCGCCGGGCAGAAAGGAGGGCTGGGGGGAGGACGGGGACGAGAACGGATCTAGAGATACATCTAAGGGGTAAACAGGCTGTTACAGCTCCCGTCCAATACGCAGTCATGTGTTCGATAATTAATAAATGTACACAAAACAAGCTCTTATGGAAGTATTTGATGCCCTAACTATCACCTTTTCCCTCTTGGGCTGAGCTTCTCGTTTAGCTTGCAAGACGAGCGCGAGTTGAAACCCGTAAGACAATTTTTACCATTTGGATACTTAATTTCAGAAGAAGATGCAATTATTACCAGCACCGAAGAATGGAAAACAAGCATGTAAGATTTATTTAGTGCAATGTAAGCATTCAAATGGAAAATAAGCAAAACTACCAAATATCTGAAAAGCTAAAAATTATAGGAAAAAATTTTACAGGAAATCTTGATATAAAATTCCAGCAGCGCATATTTAATGTGCTGAAAGGCCTCTTCAGCAGAGGCTCTGCACTCTGTAAGGGCTTGCATACCACTGGAAATATACCAAAACAGTTATTTTGAAGTAATTATTATAATGATAATCCACAATTAAAATGCTTTTTAATGGGACTTGCAATAAAAATGTAATTGGTGATTATGGAACGCCAAGATGACGTCGCTTGTGCAGACAGCAATTTTTGTGCTACAAGCAGCAGCACAGGCAAATACAATTTTTGAATCAAAACAGGAGATGCAGACAGATACCAGCTTTAGGGTGAGAGCAGCCAAGAAGTGTCACAACATGACAGCTATTATGGAAATACACAGAACAGTTACTCCGTTCAATTTTCAAGCACAGGAGCTGATGAAATTTAGAGGGCCAGCCTAAAGCTCTGACCTTTACCTAAGTTGGGTAAAACAACAGGATTTTTTTTTAAATGAGGTTGGAAATATGGATAGTAACATTCCTAAATTCTATCTAATATATGTTAGAAACCCCATCCTACCCCCTGCCATAATCTAGAAGCACAAGTTCAACAAAATCAGAGATTAGGGTTTAGTGAAAAAAATATTCCAATTAAGAGCATGAAAGTGTATACAGTAAAATTAAAATGATTTTTTAAAAAGTTAACATTGTACCTTATCAGAAACCTAGTAATGCCAGAATTCTGCATCTGATGGCAAATAAAAAACCCTCTAATTATGCCGTAATATCTTAGTTTATATTATACAGGAATACAGAATATAATATCTTCTTCCTTAAACAATCATCCCTATGCTACCAAAGCAGCTCACAGCACATTATTCTGCTCACGTTAGGTCAGCTGAATCACTGTTCCAGCCTGGAGGAGGTACTGTCTCTTCCCAGACGAGTTCTGCAGTTAATATCAGCACTGACAGTAGCAGCTTGTTGTACCAGCTGCCGTGCTACATTTAGATACTAAATGCGTTTAACTACACTGTGAAGAGACAAAATAATGTCACATCTACCACAGACCCGTTCATTCAAGCATCAATAAAATGCACCTTCTCCATTTACCTACTTAGAGGACACCCTGCGACCATAGCATCTAACCACGCTAATGCTTAGATCGAACTCCATTCCTTAATGAAATTAGCACATATAATTTTAAATTACCCTGGAAGCAGAGTTCTGTTTTCACCTCTGTAACCAACAGGATCTGCCTAATGATGCAGACGCATCATGTGAGCTGCACCAATTTCTTCTCGAGGCGGTAACCTGAGGACAGAGCGTATCAAATGAGCTCTGGTAGGGTCTCTCACCGGCCTGGGTTACAGTCAGAGTATTCTGTGTCTGGGTTATAAGCTGTATTTTTGCACTTTTCTTTCTTTTTCTTTCTTTTAGGACCACTTGTTCAAGTGAGGCTTCGGTTTTGTGCTATGAACTGAAGTGTTGCTCTCACACAGGTTGAAATAAATAACAAAAGTTTTATCCCAGGGTAGATTGAGCCCCCAAAGAAGCAACAATAACTGTACGTGGCAAAGACAAAATGCACAAGACAGGTTTTTTTTTTATGGATGGTAGAAAGGGAAGGCACCTGAACAAAGTATTCCCTTCTGGAGATCCCAGAGTCCCTCCAAGCACCGTACCAAAAAAATGCAAGGTGTGATGGAGATTGCCTCATCCCTGTTCTCTCCCCAGAGACCACGGAGAGGACGGGTGGCTCTCTGCAGAGGAACGTGTCCTAAACCAAAAGCAACTTTCTATTTCTAAAGGAAACACACACCACCTACCCCAGGGTTCCCACACCAGCACACGCATATCACAAGTGACATCCACGTCCTTCAAAGCTGCACGCAGCCCAAGACGATGATGAGCTCTGAGGGCTGACAGTGCCTTCTACATCTGCTGGCGGTACCCAGATACTGATGAGGGAAGAGAGGAGCGGTGACGCTGATGGGCAGACCTATGGCTTAAGTTACAGATTTAGCATGGCTGCAACTACAGGTTTCCTACTAAAGAACGTGCATTTAAAAGGAAAAAAACACTGAGGTCTTTTCTCCTTAGCTTCTGCTTTAAAGTGTGAAGGGTCAAAAAATATTTCTCCCTATCTGTTTTATCCATTTTCAAAAGGCAACATTTGACTTCCTGTCTCCCTAATGCAAAAGAACGTAAAAAAAAAAAAAATACACACACATATCACGGATGAAAGTGCTAACAGAAAGTGCCAGTACGGCTGGGGAGAGCTGCCATTGTGCTGGCCTGGCAGACGTTTCTTCTAAAATCTCTTCCTAGAACATATGGGATCTTCCTCACTGATAAGTTTTCAGCTATAAAAAAGAAAAAAAAAAAGAGAGACTTCAATCTAAAATGATGCTTTCATTTGCAGATTTTGTACAGAATATACAATTTATGCCAATAATTAGCATTTTAAAAGTCTATGCAATACTGCCTGATATTTCTTGGGGATACGAGCGAGATTTACTGAAGCACAAAAAGTCTTGTTTCTCTTTTAGATAAAAAGATTTCACATAATGGGCTGCCAATTAAAGCAGGACTTCTTATGGAATGAACGGCTATGCACTGTGCCCTGAGCTGAAGTTAATCCACCCATACAACCCCTCTATGTATATTCAATGCAAAACGGGGTAGGGAGAATGAAAAAGCAGAAAACCTTATGATTCCAAGGTGGAAGTTTTATTTCTCGTCGCTGTTAAAACAGCAGCTTATATTTAGGGTATTTGCATTGTAATTGCCTCCTACAAAAATTTATTTTGGTGACTAATTTCAGCTTTTTATCAAGGGCTGTGGATCCTTTTCTCTTTGGTTTTGATTGCTTGGTCTTAAACAACACGAATAAAAGAGCAGCGAAGTGCCAGAACAAGGGGAGCAGGGAGTAGCAGGTTGTTGCTTTGAGATGACAAATGACACAGCAGTGAAATCAAGAGGTTTACTCTACCAAGCCAGAGGGCTCTAGAGTGGAACACCGAGCTGAACCAACACAAGAGCCTGCTGACACACCACAGCGACAGCACATAAGCGCTGACCTACATTGCCATTCTGGATTTAAAGGGAGGTTCACAAAGCTCTTACCATGGAATCAGCAATCCCAGCTCTACAGACACTTTCACAGGAGTCACTGGGTATGTCACTATTTCTGTCAACTTCGATGGAATGTGGAACTATTTGGGACACACAGACTAAGCCATCTGCACAATACAGACCTGCAATTAACACTTTTTTAGCCTCTTCTTTCAGCTAATGAAGTAGGCCCTAACACCACCTTGTCCCCCACAATGCTGTCACGACGGCTTTACAATTTCTTCTAATATTCAAAAATCTTTTCAGGTACAGCATTCTCAACGGCTCAGGAGTTTCTCTCCCCATTCACCAGCACCCTAACTGGCCTTCCGAGTTAGCTCAGATGTCAAATCAAAAGCCATCCGCAAACCAGTCTTCGCAGAAGACATTCAATGAAAAGATCCGGTAAGCTTTCAACCATGTTTTACTTTTCAACTGGCAACTGTGCGCCGAAGGCCACGACCAGTCTCACAGCAACAGCTTCCAACCGCATGAAGTAACTCTGTCCTGTTAGGAATGCCAACATTCCCGCTAGCTCCCCGTTTCCCCTCCCTTACCAGTATGCACGTCACTCTTCCACTACTCTGACAACCTGCAGGAACAACGGAGATTCCCCTTGACTTTGACCAAATGAAAAATCTCTCCCCGCTCAGCAAAGTCACCGACCGCAGGTGCTAGAAACTCACGGGCCAGTCCCCTAAAAGTCGCAAGTGTTGGTCACGAAAACAGAACGTATCTTTGCTCTTCTTGCTCTTCTGGCTTGTAGCTGCTCTCACTAAGTCCATACGTCTGAATTAACACAGAAAGTAGTGTACCCACAATATAAAGACTAATGACTCAGGGGAAGAGGAGGAGAAGGAAACAGGAAAAGATACAGCTTAAACCAAAGGGTCTGCTGTCATTTATAACGTCAGCCTTATCTTCAGGCTAGAGTTGGTACTGCAAATATTACGAAGCACTCACATAGCTGTATTTTTGATGATCCTTCCTTGGTCCATTTTCTGCCCAATACCATGCACAACAAACACAATGTGACTAGTTTGTGGTGGCTTGTCTTCTAACGTAGCTTCTTCTACATAGCCTCTATGTAGCCTTGTCCCACTACTTGAAGCTGTAGAAAAAACATTATCCTAGATCAGTTACATTCTACGAAGTGCAACGGTCTTATACGTTGACAGCAGGTTGACTTGTCTCAGACCAATACATTAAAGTATTTTGAAAAGAAGATTATACATAAAGGAAAAGCATGTATTTTTAAATATCTGCAATTTTAAACTCCTGAAAGATTTGAGCAACTAGGTGATATTAATTGTATCAGTCAATGTATTACTAGGCCATTTCCACTGTAAAGACAACTCATTTTGGAGATGTTTTGAAAAACAACTTTTTAAAGAACAGTTGTATAATTGTCCATCCACTTTTACGACACAATACCCTTCTTCCATGTGTCTAAATCATTAAACTTCCTTACATCGCCACCTTACTTTCACAGCATGGAAGGATCGTGGAAATGATCTGGCCAGGAAACTGGTAAGCTTTGTCGTTCTTTCTCTGACTCAATTAAGAGAGCTGGTTGAAAAGCTTTACAATTTTTTATTTTGACGGGGAAATCCTATGTTTTATTTCAGGCTGATCCAACCTCAAATTTCCCCACTCGTTCTCCAGTTCAGTGGCCAAACCAAAAATCATTACCCAGGGCGAATATGGCTAGTCTCCGCCCCCCCCCCCGCCGATGGCTTGAGAAACCCACTGGCACAGCGTGTCTCCATCCCCCTCTAGTGACAGACCCATTTAGAGGACCACAGCCTTGCATGAGTGCCAGCTGCGCCTGAATCCAGCAACCCCTTCAGATGGCCCCGCAGAGGAAGGCAGCATCATTCCCCACCACAAAAACTGAAACCACCAACTTGTTTTGCTTTTAAGGAGGAGGAAAACACTACAAAAATGCTAAGGGCAGTTTTTACACTGGACAGCTTTTGTTTACCAAGTGGGCTGCTATTTGATATTTCTCCCCCCAGATTGTTTAGGACAGATCTTACTTATTATTTACTACACACTATCCAAATCATGTTCTGGACACAGAATACTTCATTTCTTCTGGAACTGAAGCATTGAATTAATATGAATATTAATTCCTGGCAAACATTAAGTAAGTATCTACCCGAGAGCCCTGTGGGGTAAGAGGGCATTTATTACAGAACAGAGGCATGGCGATTAAAGCCAAACCTATTGCCTGATTCTGCCTCTTCAGAAACCAAGGAACAAAATGGGTGTGTATGTTCTTGGTTTTGTAGCTGTCCAGCAGCGCATAGGAGCACCACGACAGAGAGGACGAATTCCAGTTTTCCAGGCTGCCGATAATGTGCCTGTTGCTTGAGAGAGACCATCCTCTCTTCCAACCATCTCAGCCTTGCTGGCTTTAGAACTGGTAGTTCTGAGCTTAAATGAGCCCGGATTCCTACTGGAAACAATTCCTGTCTAAACACAGCTGCTTCACCCCTCCTCTCGGTTCATATGTCTCTTTAATGAACTGATCAAAAGCAAGAGCTGGCGAGAGGGGAAGGTATGATCACGTATTTAAGGAATGCGTCACAGTATGCAAGCACACAGCGGTGAAGTTAAGGTTGCAAAGGGAACTGTAGTTCTTACATCGTAGCTGCTAGACTCTGCCACTGTAATATTTTCATATACTTATTACGTAATGCTAACTGCTGCATCCAAAATAATAATTAAATATGTAATAAAAATAAGTCATAGCCTGTTCACATCTAGTTATAATTGTGTACAACAACCTCAGGACCCTAATATACTCTTCTGTAAAAACTGCAATGGCCGAAGTGGGCTAGTCACATATTAAAACTTCAAACTTGAAATCTCCTTCTAGCGTTAAAGTAACAAACTTAAAATACTGGTATTTACAATATTCTTTACAAACTCTAAGAAATATTACCTTTGGAAAACCCCAACTTTTGTGTAACAGTTCTTGCAATTTTAGATGTTGTTGCATCACTGTAAAGATACACTTCATCCACACTGTGCCAGTCCACATGGTTGCGACTCAACTTTAGACTATGAATAGCTGCAGCAAAAAGGAACAACATTTAATTTAGATGGGTAAGAGGAAAAAAAAGCCTCTTCAAACACAGAGAGAGAAGAGTAATTTAAACATAGGTTAAAATCTAGAGCTCCATTATACCTAAACCCGTACTACTTCTTACCTTGAAAAGTTTTTTTACATTTAGGATTAATCTGACCAGGACAGGCAGGAGTTTGGAGACCACCTCTGAGGACATTTCACATCATTCTGCTCCCACCCTCATTTTGGGATGCTAGGTTTCCAAAATATTCCCTTAGCTGAAAACAAAGCAAGAAAAAAAAAAAAAGGGGGGGGGGGGGAGCGGGCGGCAGGGCAACGCATCCTGAAATACTGCAGGTTGGTGGGATGACCAGGTGGCTGCCTCGTGCACTCTCATCACTAGAAAAAGAGCGATTTCACTCCTAGCTTCTCTCTCCTGTGCCCGTACAGCGAGACCCCAGGTTTTGTCTGCACACTGCGGTAACACAGAGGCTTTCAAGGCGCCATTACTAGAAGGCTCCATTGCATTTCTATCCTTTCAGAAATATCTAGGAGCTGGAAACGCAGTTCAATGAGAAAGCCCCTGAATGAGTAATTTCTGGCACAGAACAGAATCTAGCTCTTTCAAAAGCCACTAAGAGCTCTAGTGTTTTTTGTGCAGTTATTGTGTTTTCCAGATTTGGAACTGATTGAGCTCTGGGACCAACCTCATGACACACTGCCTGATTGTCGGGATTAAGCACAGCAGGCACGTTACAAAGCAAGTCAGAATCTCTCATCTAAGGCTTAGAGCTTGCTTGAGCAAGGCGGTACCACAGCTGTATTACTAGTAATTCGGATTTCACCTAAGTTTGGAGATCCACTGCTTAGGTCTCATCTAACGTGGGATACGCAACATTTGGAGAGCTGACAACAGCAATAGCCCTGTGACAAAAAAAAGTGTTATTTAACTGTCATTGGTCTTGCTAAAAAGTCCAAAGTCATGGAGAACACCCAGGGGGATTGTTTCGGGTTTGGTTTTCTTCCATAACAAGCAGAGCTCTAACCTGTCCCCTACTTGCAGCCACTCAAATTAATTTTTTATACTCTTCTAAAAACATTCTGAGGAAGCCTGAGCCATCACAATTTCATATTTTAACTCCGCTACAGCACAAACCAGCCATGTTAAGCTAGATGTTGTGACCTTTCTCCTGTAGTATTTTCTGTTTCTTTGCCAAGGCAGATAGACCTAACATAGTCTGATGAAAAACTAAATGAAGTCTGTAAGAAACAACGGGATTAGAAAAGGATTACCCCTTCTGTTGTAGTAAACAACTGATTCACAGAAAATAACTGGAACTATATTGCTGTTTTACAGTGACAGAGCAAGGACCGGAAAGGAAGTAAGCCTGACTTTGAAGAGCAGACACGTCAGCTTAGGCTAACGACCGGCCAGAGCAAGAAGCAATCCGGTGAGAACTCAATGAACATGCAAACTGATTTTTCATAAACATCCCTGCAGGCGCAGAGATGTGTCCACGTCCAGAAATCTCAATTTAGAGCTGGAAAAGGAGAGGAAATTCCCAGCAAAACTTCCTCTTTCAGACTTGGAGACAATGCAACGGAGACACTGATGTCCTGAGACTGGCACGTAGTCTAGTGGCAAAGGCAAGGGACCTCCTTGCAGATGTCTCTGCAATCTCCTCCATCCTCAAATCCATGCATTGCCTAGCAGGTCTTTAAGAGCTGTTCCACCTGCATTCTGTAAAATCCCTCTCAGAGTATGTTCCTGGGAAAGCTGGCAGAGGAGGGCTAGAAGCTCTCTCTTTGGAGAGCGTGGTGCTCAAGGTCCAAAGCGTGCAGAGGAAGAGATGGAGAGGTCCATGGCTGAGTCACTTATTACCACTGGAAGAACAGAGTTTGGGGAGGAACGATCCTCAAACTCTTTCTGGAATCAAGTCCAGCCTCTCTATTGGAAAAAAAATATACAGAAAGAGGTCGGTTTTCCCTGCGCTGCATGAATTATTCTCACTTGGGAAGAACAAATGCCTAACTTTTACGGTGTTCTTCAAAAACGCGTATGTTGAAGGACACATCAAAATCAACTACAAGACGTGCATGCACTGAGGAACTACACATGAAATACCCAACACTATTTCTCTGCATATTTAGTAAGGCCTTCAAAAGGGAACCTGAAAAATTTGGTCTACTGTTAACATAAGCACCACAGGAAACTACCGGTAACCTTCAGTAGGACCGTACTTCCTTGTCTCCTGACAACAGAGTAACTTACATCTCCGAGATGTGTTGTTAACATACACATTGCATTCAAGCTCAGATATATTTTTTACAGTACTTGGACTATGCACCCTTCCTTTCTACCCAGCATCCAGAATAAAAAAAAAAAAAGGAAAGCAAAAAAAGGAAAAAAGTGTTTGTTCTTGCTTCTCAGTTTTCCTTCAACCACAAAATATCAGTTTTTAGGGAAGTGGCAGGATCTAGAACATGCATATGGACAACGCTTTTCAGAGAATCTACCAATTTGCCAGTAAGCTGATAAATTTCGCCATTTTAATTGATATATTTACATCTTATTTTGCATCTCTTAGTAAATTTTGTTTACCGACACATTCACTGCTTTGCTTTTGAGTGCCTGTCCAGGTGCACGCTCCAGAGCAAAGTCCAAACCAGCAGTAGACTCAATCACTGAAAAACAGTGGCTGCAGGACATTCCAAAGGCACCATGCACTCCAGTGCAGTATTTTGCAGAAGTTTGGATAACACTTCCAGGGTGTCTGTCTTACCAACCAGGAGTGGAAACATTCCTTTAAAGTTAACAAGAGTCACCTGGGTCAAAACAAACTGTGCTGCATGCTCTACCTTGGCACTCTCTTTTGAAATCCCATGGGATGCGCTGTTTAAAAAGTCTGCCTGAGGATCAATGCACCCGTTCCACAGACCAACCCACCCTCTTACTGAGGTGGGGTGAGATTTTTGTCTCCCCTTTTTTAATTTATATAACCGTTGGAATGTCTGTTCATCCTCAGACCCTGAATGTGATGTCCACCAGCAGAACAAAAATCCAGTAATAAGGGAAAATCTATCACCCTGAGCTCCAGGCCCTCTTGGTGTGCAAGAATACCCCTTCAAAACAGGAGTGACACCGCACTTGATGACCATAGTTGTGCGCTCTCTATCCTTACGTATGCATCTGTCCCAGTGATGGCAATGTCTGGGGAGCGAAAAAATGGTACACCCTTGCAGATTTGCATGGCAGAAACCCGACTGAGAGAAGGGTTGCCTAGCTGAGATCAGTCACAGGGATAAATGATCCCCAAGCCATGTGCGCATGTATATCTAGGCAGAGACAGTGGTTCTCTGTCATTATGCACAGGAGAGACCCTTTAGGTAAAAAAAAAAAACCACCCTGCAACAAGGTACCTCTTCACGAGGGCCAATGCTGCACCGAGGACTGTGAAGAGATTCTCAAAACTCTCAAGAGCCCAACCAAAAGGAGCTTCTGCTGCTGACAGTCCCAGCCAGGTTGTACTGACAGTGAGGCAGGGAACAGAAAAAGCATCTTTGGAGAGGATTTGATAGCAGTCTGAAAATAAGCATCCCCCAAAAAAATCAAAACATGCAAGCCATGCTTTCCAGGTATGGGATAACAAGGGCTGCCATCGCCGTTTTGAAACTGAACACAAGGAAGAGAAAGTTCTGTTTTTCTGAAGATGATGAGATCACATGATTTACATTCTCTTTTCAGAACAAACCGTGACTGTCCTATAAACCTCTTGCATGCTGCAGAGGTGGTCAAACTGGCAACTCAGGAGCTGTTCATACCGAGAGATGTCACAGTGTCAGGATGTCACCAAGGCATGTCGTAGCATGGCTGAGGAAGCCAAGTCGTAGAATTCAGATTAGGCAGTGGGTATGGCATAGGGGAATGCTCTTCGTGTTCATTCCTCTGCCTTCTGGGTCCTTCAGGAGCATGCTTTCTATGTTTGTGGATTCTCTCCAGGCTAGGATGTTGCTGAGCTTCACTGAGATCTGACTGCAGCTACGGCATCTCTGAACAGCAGGCGCAGAAGATGAAGGGTCTCCCCTAAAACCATGGGACAGGAATCTCCCTGTGGATCAGACTTCCTGCAGCTTTGCTTTCACATGAACTACTTCTCTGACACTGACAACATGCACAGCTTTCTTAGTAGGCATCTCCGTAGGTGCATCTTCCCCAGTTGCAGAAAACCCTGGGTATTCTGCACACTGCTTAGTCTTCTCGTTTGGGATTAACGGCCAAGCCCATAGAAATGAGACCAAGTTTCGGTTTCCTTCGTAGCCAGAAACTAGAAATGAAACATTTTTCAGGAACACCAACCATGACAGTCACCTAGGGTATGAGTACGGGGAAGGCACAACCCCACTGTAGATGGAAGGCAGCCTGACGCTAGACAGTAGCGAGCAAGCCATGCAAAAACAAGGAGAGAAGCATAGGGGAAGTGAGAGGGATCAAGAAAGGACTTCTTTCAGCTGAAGAAATCAACGGCTACTATCACACAACCAACCAGTTTCACGAAGATAGATGAACACAGAGGGGAAAAAATCCCTCTAAAAAGTTTAAATATGAAAAATGAAGAGGTAAACATAAAATACAGAATACATATTCCTAAAGCCTTGAAGAACCTGATCTCAATTAGACTGCAGACACTCATCTTGAGTCAAAATAACTGGAGAATAACTGAGGAGCAGAAAGCCTGCACTAATTTTTACACTCATAGCACAAAACCCGTGGAGAAGCTGGGGATGTGCACGCTTGGATGTGCACTGCTAGTGCAAACATCCTCCCAACTCAAGTGCTTGAGGAGCTGAACACCTCCAGGAGTAAGTGCAGACAGACGGGCACTTGAACTTGGCATTTCATGGGGCCAACAGTTTACAATTAAATACCTTTTAAGGTAAGCACCTGGTTTTTACTCGATACTTTCATCCACCTGCCAAGACCAAAGCATGGGGTGATTCTCTTCTACCAGAGCTTGACTATGCTCAAGTCAAAATCAATCTAGAGGAAAGCATCTTTGAAGTGCTTACAGCTGATATTATCTCCATCTCCTCCACAAAGGCACCGTCATTCCAGTCAGGGCTAAAGACCAGAGAAGGGATACATACTGTCTGAAAACCTTTTCTGCCTTCTTTTTTTCAGGGATTTTAAAATAAATCAGTAAGCATTAGTTTCTGCACAAACCCTGCCACATCATACACATAACTGAGAGCATAATTTGGCCGCTATTGTTCTTTCTTAAACAACTCTGAAGTTCTGGTAAGTAAACCTGAGGTACAGCTGTACATTTTAAAACCTTTTTTATTTGTTTAAAAAGCAAATGCAAAGCCATTAAAAAGACTATTGCTCTGAATTAAATTGGGCTGTTTCCCATTGCTGTCATTTTTATATTGCACTGCACCACCTCTCAACTCACCAATGCCTCCATTTGTTATATAAGCACCGACTTTTAATTTTTTAACTCAAGCACATTTATTACCACAACTGAACACGATTTGGACAAAAAAAATACACAAAATGATTTCAAAGTTACAATCACAAAATAAAAGGCAGAAGTCCTTTCTTACTGCTCAAGACAGTAGTTACACTTAATTCACCTTTAACAGACTTGAGTTCCATGTGTGAGAAGAGGCAGGAAAAAGTTTACTGTTAAGCATTTTTATTTCAGGCATTTTCATTTGGACCCAATTATAGAAAAATATAATTAAAGGAAGTCAAAAGGCAAACATTTATGCATGTCAAAATAAATTCTCATACTTTTCAATATCCCCAGGAGCTAAAAGAATATACGGTATGACAAGAATAACTCTAAACCTACCACGTGTGTTTACATTTTAAATCGAGGGTGCAGTTTTCAGAAGTTTAGTTCCACAGTCACTGAAGTCAGTAAAAGTTTAATCACTACTGGCTCTAACGGTGGCAGAGAAAAGATCAGTGACAAGTACTTTTGAGCCTTCTGCAATCATTACTGGCTCCTGTAAGGTCTATTCCCACTTTCTGAAACAAATTTGCACAATATCAGCTGCCGCAAAGTTCAAAGTTGTTTTCTGCAACACAGCAGCCTTTCTCACGTATTCTATACAGCTTCCCCTTTTTATATCGTATGTCCGAAGTCTCATTTCATTCCAGTACTCATACAAAAGCTGCAGTAAAAATAATTTACAACATAAAATTAAAGATGTGTGCATTACCCAAAACAAAGCGGCAAAAAAAATTCCTTCTCTCACATAATTTATCTTATACCAGGGCTGCTTGTGATTCTAAAAAAGTTGCTTTTAGTTTAGTGAAAAGCCAAACCACATATAAAGAGTAAGAAACAAACGTTTACAGTTCTCAGTCACGAATAATTAGAATAAGGATTACTGCACAATACTGTTAGCATCTACTTTCCTCTAAGATTCACAACACTTCTACTTTTCTTCTAAGATCTATGATGCTTTTTCCTTCCCTTTTGAAGGAAATGGCTTGAATACAGCTCAAGAAATTGAAGCATGTAAATCTAACACATTTAACTGATATAAGCAAACTAGAATTTAAAGCGTCCTAAGCCCGGAGTACTACAAAAAAGAAATCTACAATTACTGTACCTTGGGAACGCTTTCGCTTAAGACATGCAGCATCTGAATTCTCCTTATATCCTCTCCATTTGAACAAAGAAGGGAGGGAGAAGGGAGGGAGGTAGTAGAGAACTAAAAGTAAAAACACTGAGCTTCAAAGTAAAATTTTTAAAAGGGGTGTCATTTTTTTCATTAGTATTACCATTTTTAGAAAGAAAAAGTTGGCACATTTTCTGAAAAAGTATATACACTTAAAAACCTGGTTTTGTAGCAAAAGTGTCAGGTCACATTAGCCAAATTCAATTTCTTCACTCTTCATCAACAGTTATGACATCACAACAAAGCTAAAGGCATTAGTAAAAGCCAGCTGGAACACAGCGTAACCAGACTCACCGAGTGCCTTTACACGTATAAAGCATAAACGCTCTATTTGTATAGGGTAGAACACAGTAACCCTTCTTAAGTACACACTAAAGGTTTGGGAAAAAAAACCCACAAAACAACTCAATTTTAAGCACAGCTCTATTATTTTCCCCAAAGGGTGTAAGAGGACCATTGAAAGTTAGATTAGGCAAGATATCCTACTGTTACCCTGTTCTGTAAGTCCTCAAGAAGCTGCTTTCCGTGGCGAAATGCAACAGCGTGCACGCTTGGCCTCTGAGCTTCCCCTTGACGGTAAGGCAAGTCCGTAACTTCTATTAGACTTTCAACCGTGTTATTTCACTCCCCGGAAGAGTACTGAAATACTGCCCAGCAGTCCAAAAGATTCTTTTTCGGGGACTTCGGTATTGGTGCTGCGTGATTATGGAAGAAATACTTTAAGGTAAGTGAAAGCTGCTGCTAAGGAGCGGGTAAAGGTATGTGAGCAGGAAGAAGCTGCTCTTGGCACTTACACAAGAGGAGACTTGTATTCCCTGTTGCCTCAGTTTCGACAGGTACCTCTTACGCTTCTTCGGGTGCTCCTGAGCAAGGCTGAGAGTGACGTCCTACAAATCTACGTCTTCTGTGTTACTGCTCTGTGGGCCCTCGCTCATACAAATAGTCTTAATTTCAAAATGTTTTAGCCTCAAAAACCTGATATAGTCAAGAGAGCGTGTTTAAATCCAATGAGAAATCAAGAGGTTCCAGCCTGGCTTCTGAATCCACAAAGTTATTGAGCTGCAATTACCTGAAATCAGTTAGTCTGCTGGAGAGTGGGGAGAAATGCAGCCGAACGACATCTTCCCTTGCAAACACCAGGAACAGTTAATACTGTGCAATCCAGTAACTCATGCCAGTACAAGAGAGTGACAGCCCATGCCTGTGTCAAGGGCTTCGACTGCCACAGTTATGCTGGTCCAGGATCACACCTCTTCACACCCTCAGCTAACAGCTCTGTCAGCAGATGCCTTAATACAGATGCAAGTCAAGTATATTACTGTTGCATGTCAGTTTTCTAGAGGAGAGGAAAATTAGGCTTATAGCTACTGCACTTGGAACTTGGTGGAATAACTTAGTCTACAGGATAGTTTACTGGCTGTGGCAACTCAAGAAGAACATACACAGGAAATTCAAGTAAAGTATAAGGAAAAAAAGAAATCTTTTTTATAGTGAGGGTGATAAAACGCTGGTACAGATTGCCCAGAGAGGTTGTGAAGTCTCCGTTGTTGGCGATATTCAAAACCCCACTGGAAACATCCTGAGCAATCTGCTCTCGTTGACTCCGCAGCTTTGAGCGGGGAGGTTGGACTAGATCATCTCCAGAGATCCCTTCTGATCTGCACGACTCTCTGATTCTATGAACATGACTTTCCCATCTAAAGGTTAACTTAGCCAGCTGTGACAAAAATTCATTGTTAATATAAATTTTTTAAGAACAGAGAAAATTTTATTTGAAATCTAAGGCAAAACAAATCAACTATTCCAAACGTAACTTTTATAGTTTTTGTGGTACCTAATCACACACTGAAAATCCGTAAGAAAAACCAATAAACTTATGCAGCTTCAAAATCAATGCATTTAAAAAATTCCTCTGATTCTAACTCATTGGGGTTTTTTCTACCTTTTTATATCATCTATCACAGAATCATAGACTTGATCACAGAATAATTTCTGTTGAAGGGACTGCTGGGGTCCGCCTGCTCCAATCCCTCACAGAGAGCAGGATCAGCTTTTAAGTTGGATCCAATTTCAAATTTGGATCAGGTTGCTCAGGCGATTTCCAGCTGAATTTTGAGCATCTCTCTGTGCAAATACAATGAACAATAAGGGGGCTTATAAAAAAAGATGGCGGCAAACTTTTTAGCAGGGCCTGTTGCAACAGGACAAGGGGGAATGGCTTTAAACTAAAGGGGGGTAGATTTAGACTAGATATAAGGAAGAAATTGTTTACGCTGAGGGTGGTGAAGCACTGGCACAGGTTGCCCAGAGAGGTGGTGGATGCCCCATCCCTGGAAACGTTCCAGGTCAGGCTGGACGGGGCTCTGAGCAACCTGATCTAGTTGAAGATGTCCCTGCCCACGGCAGGGGGGTTGGACTAGATGGCCTTGAGAGGTCCCTTCCAACCCAAACCATTCTATGATTCTATAACTATGTCTATTTCTATCTTACTATCACATATATTAAGCTTTCAGCTTCACTTCATCCTAATTAAATGAATATACCTAAAAAAGGTGATGGAGCAACAGATGATAGGTACTCAACTGTATTTATGATAGTAACAGCTAACTAAGTATTCTTAAAGCAGAGATAGCAAACCTTAAAGCTGTTAGAGGATATTATTTACACCGGGGACCAGTTTATGATGTACCCTTTGAACCACTGCTCAGTGGTCTCAAATAGAAGAATCGGAATTAGCCCTCACGCTAGCCTAGAGCAGCGGGATGCTCAGGGGCACGCTGAGCACTTGCTGTTCCTGCTCTGCTGTTTGGCACCATCGCTGCTACACAGAAGGCAAGAGATGGCAGTTTTACCATCTACCAGGCAGCTATGGGTCCCACAGATTGAACCTCCAGCTGGAAGTCGGACTGTGTGACAAAAGCTGCTCGTCCGTCCTCGACTGCCTCCCCGCTCCTGAAGCGGTGGGCACCTGCCCGCTAACAGCTCCGCTGTCCTCGGGGAACTCACAGCAAGGGATATGTGGGCTTCGGCCCCAGAGCAAGAGAGAAAAATCGGCACTGAAGCAGTGACATTGACCCTCCATCAAGAAGCTCTTGGTCTGAACATCACTGCCTTTGTTGTGGTTAAATACTGCTAGCAAAATATGTAGTCTGAGAACCCTTAAGAACCTGCTCTGATCTGAGCTCGTGGTCTTATTTTATCTGACAACGGCCTTCATATTACTGAAATCACTTGAGAACGCTGCTCCTTTGATAGACTACTTTAGATAGGTCCTGAACTCACTGTCTGCCTAAGTATGCACAAGAAGCAGTTTCTAAATCTTATGTTATTCTGTACGTTTTAAGCCTATTGACTGCTAAAAAGGTATTGTGATACCCTTTCTGTATTCCTTTCAAAATGGTTTCAGCTGAAATATTGCTTCCAAGAACAAGCATTATATCCTAGGTCTTTCTCAGAAATATTTATAGAATTATTTTACAGTAGTAACATATTTAAGTGTAATCACTGGGTATATGCAGTACAAGAAAGGTCAGTATTTCTGCACAAAGGCAGTTATAAACCATTCTCAGTGTGATCAATTAAACAACCCAGATATTTCCAGATTTTAAGGGTTGAAGTTTGTATCATTAGGCATTTTGAACAGAAGAATTTAGATCAAAACACCACCTTACATCTTGTGTTGATGTTAATTTACATATGTTAAGTTTGAAGAATGAATCTTCCGTAAGAAGGACAAGCAAAGCCAATATAAAAAAAGCCTAGTTTACCTGGATGAAAAAATCCAAGTACTGGACAAATGAATTTGAGGGCCCCAAAAAAACCCCAACATTGTCTACCTATCAACAGAGTGGCAGAACAACAAATAAGTCCTGGAAGCCCACATACACTGTTACAGCAGTGCAGCGCCTCACTTACGGGTTTAGTATGTCAGACTCGATCGTTTTTAGCAAAGACTTGAGTGGCAAATGTTAAGCTCTAGTCCTCAATACAACTATGAAATGACAATGTGATGACCCTCGTTTTGCTCAAAAAAAAATTTACGTAAAATTCCTTTATGTAATGACAAGACAGAAGATGCCTTCCTGAACCTGCCCGTGTGCAGATTTGCATTTGTGCAAATTTGTGATTTGCATTAACTCAAATCCAGGCCGCAGACATTCAGTTTCACAACAAAGCAGTCGAAATGCAGCCAAACCCCTAAATTCCTCATCCTAAGTGTGGTCTCCTCCTGTAGCCGTATCAGTCACTCCATCTTAAAAAGACAGATCAGCAACGTCCTTTCCTGTATCTATCAACAATAAAATGAACTATTTAAACTGAAAAATGTATGTGGAATTTGGCCAGGATCAAAGCAGACTCTGGGGTGATGGGATGTGAAACAGAGTGCAGTCAAGCTATGGAGGAGACGGGTGATGCCCTTGCAGGATTTGCACGCACCGGGACTCCAGCAGCGTTCGTCTGGCCCGGTTTTAGGCACCTCGGGAGGCAGAGCTCTCTGCAGAGTCGATGAAGAGAGAGGCTCATGCCCTCAGCATCCCTCCCTGACATGCACACATTCTGCCTGGTCTGTGGTGGTCCGGGGAGCCGGCTGTCTGGATGCTGCACTTCAGAGATGGCCAGTCAGGGTAGCTGGCCTTTTACAAGCGTTACAGATGTCAACACATCCAGAACCAAACACCCCTCCCAAAATCTCAGAAATACGACTGATTTCCAAAAGCAGCAGATAGAGCTCTGGTACCTGGGAGTCATGTCTATGAACTCCTACGGGACAGAAACTTCTTGGAGACAAATCCAGGTCAACCGGGTGTTGCAAAACTAAAGGTCCCATTAACCTGCTTGGACAGTCTTAAGATCCAAAGTGCCTCATTTCTGCATTCTGCCATAACAAATAATTTACCTGAGAAAGTCATGCCTCATGAGACCAACGGCTCAGCAGACCACTGAAGAGGATCAGGCACCAAGGGGAGTCAGCGGCTTTAGGCAGCGTAAACGCAGTTCATTTTGCAAGGCATGAAATTAAATACTTTGAAGGGTGAAAAGCAAAACGCCGCTACAGGCGGTGTGCTCCGAGGGATCTCCCACGGAAGCAGTGGTCTCCAGGCTGCCCCACGGAAAATAGAGCTTGAGAAATCGTTCACCTAAACACAGTCATATGCCGTTCTGTCACCTTCAGCATTTCCAGCTTCCCGCGGTCCCAAACAACACTGGAAGGTAGCACGGGCGTTATGTTATTTACAGGCCACAGCTTGGGGACCCCTATTCTGAAACATTTTGCACTTTTGGAGAAAGGTTTGCTTGGATTAATATCTTAATAATGGGGCATGTATTCATTGACCACCTATCATCACCAAAAGCCCTGGATAAAGCTTAGTTATTTCCTTGTTAACATGCTGCAATCCAGGAGCAGAATTAATAAATCAAATCACTGGAGTGGGAAATTGTTTTTCGAGATGTAAGTGTACTCTCCCAACGTGTATCCCAAAACTAAAGATACGAGGAGAGAAGAGGGGCGCTGCACGCTGAGCGGCTTCCCTTCACAGGTAATGTACATAGTGCTCGCTGCCAGTTTTTGCAAAGACGAACTCATCTGTACGGATGACTCCACAGGCAGATGGAAGCAGCACCACTTGCCCTGCGCTTGAAGAGGGCGATTCCACTGCCAGCAACGCACTGGGCAGGCTGCTCAAAAGCTGAGGGTGCTAAACACCTACTAAGCTTGCTAGCAATTCTGTTTTCTTCATGAAAAGATTTCAGAGGACAATAAAATAAGTAAATAAATATAATTAAATTGCGAATAAATTGTCAACTGTCTTGGATACCGAGTTCCAGGATATCGTATGTCGCCCCGAGTTAGCAGGCTGAATAAAAGAACGTTATCCTGAACAGGAGCAGCAAAGTGGAACCTGCTCCTAAATTTTCAGCCTACTGCCACCATTTAGAGCATGGCTGGGGTCAAATCAAGAGCTGACAGGTTTGTCTACTGCATATCAACAAGATGCTTGTTGACAGGCTAGTTTTTTGTTATTTATGATGCAAACTGGCATGTTCATACAAAAAAGTAATTATGTCTAAGTACTAAGAGACTGTTACAGCAGATCGTCTTAATTTTGCTGATGAATGAGATGAGATTGCCAGTTTTTCATCATTTACAATGCTTTATCACAGCACTGCGAGTAGTCACTTTGCCTCTCAATGATATTTACAGATCTATTCTAACTTTCACTAGGTCTTAAATAACAGCTACCTGTAAACCTTGGTGGGACCAAAATATGTTTCATACAGGATGCAATTACAACAAATTGTAGCATTTAAGAAATTTATGAACTGAATTCAGCACTTCTCCAACTAATTATGTTTACTTCATCAGCGATAATGCAAGTTGTAAAGCTTCTCCCAGTGCCACGTGCAGATGGCAATCATGGATGCCAGCTGATCAGAGATGTACTGAGAGGCATATTATAATGACAAAACCGCTTTTCACACTGCTAGCTATAATTTTCCTGCAACTCTCCTATTACTACCAAAAAAAAGAATCTATTGAAAGTTATTGGTGACTTTACATGCATTCCATTTTAAGTGACTGCATACACAGCTGTTTTTTTTTTTAAACTTTAGTTTTAGAAAAGGCACTGGTATCCAAATTTGGATTTTCTTTTTCTGATCTTTTACGTTTTTGTAAACATCAGGCATTGTATCTTTCTCACCACTCTCCCCAATCTCTCCTACCTTAAATCTGAAAATTTCTGCTCCACAGACCAGACTTTTTCTGAAAAAAAATGAACTCCCTTCCTTGCTCGATAAGGAGAATCCAAGTACAACTGAAGCCATCCTTTCTTCCTTCTTTCCTTCCATCAGAAGCTAAGCTACCCAGAGGCTGGAAGCACTCAGCAGCCATAAAGATGTGCTTTCCAAGTAAGAGCATACTACCCTGCCACAAACAGCACTGCACTCACGGCGCGGGTGCAGCTGTACTAACAAAGCTGAGCTTTGTGCCGGTACCCTGGAACAATAAATCAGTACAAGCACACAGAAATACAGGTAAAAGTGCCTTTCAAAAGGATGCTTGTACTGGCACAGTGCTGTGGGCTCAGGGGTCACACCATTCTTTGCACCTACCTGACAGAGCTGTTACAGCAGAAGACTGTACTGCAGGCTTGGCCAGAGGAAAAGACCTTTTGAAGTGGTATCAATAGAAAAAAAAACATTCACAGAGTCCTCGCTAGCCTTGAGGGGAGTTAGAAACTTAACTGCTCTCTGTACTGTTGAAAAATCTCCCTAAGTCAACAAATGATATTCTGGTTTTCCTTATAGTAATTACAGAAGTACCCTGAATACTGCCTTGCTTCCAATTTATTAACACGCTTTTACTTGTGTGGTCATGTACTTCACACATAAGAACTCCTCCATGCTTATGGCCAAAACACAGCCACTCCTAACTTCTGTAACTGTTTTGTACAAAGTTGTAGTTTAAAGAGTTTAAAAATAAAGTTGCATTATAAAGAATAACACAACCAAGACCCTACTGCAATCTATTGTGAGGCCTCTGTACTTGCAGCTCTTGGTTTGTAGATTGTTCATCAAGTGACAATCAACAAAGAAAAGCGAAGCGGGGAAGCCAAACCCACCGATCTTCCGCTGTGCTATACTTACCCTGAGCAACCAATTCGACTGCGTACATTGAATAATAAATCAGTGATTTCAGAAGGCTGTTCTTAAAAATGTTAAATGCATTTGTCTGAGATTCCCAGGAACACTAACTGAATGTCCTCAGCCTGGTCATTAAAATAGAAGGACTTCCATAGCAGAATGAATGCCCAAGATTTACTATAGCTGAAAACTACTCCAATAAAGTCACAGGCTGAACTAGAAAGGAAAATGAAATGTGACCTGTAAAACCGATACTCCCTTTAGGCCGAATTAGGAATGCTGGCCAGAGAACTAATAGCCAGTTTGCATTCAGACACTGACTCTTCTTGTCCCATCAAGAGATTTCAATTTGAAGTGAAATTTCAAACACAATTAAAAAATATGAAACACGAAACAAAATGGGAACAAGAAGTTTATCCATAAATATAACTTTACAATGTTCATCAAATAATGCTGCAGCAGGAAACCCTACGACATTAAGATGCACTGAAAAATGGGAGAGCAAACTGATGCCTATAACAATGTTCCCCACTATGTAGGATGGAAAACCACCACAGATCACATGCTTAAACTTAAGAAAAAACAGATCCCAACTGTCCAGAGAACATACTATAAAAATAGTGATCTAAACAATCTTACCCTCCTTCCCGTCAACAGGTTTTGATACTTCCATATCAAAGCTCTCTTGCAGCTGCTGGCCTTTGAAGCGGTTGAGGTGCTCCTGTTCTATTAAATTACTTTCCTCCTCTTCCAGAGGTTGCCACGTACCATCAATGAACCACTGTCCACGCATTACAGGGATCTTTTCTGTTTCTGAAAAATCAAACAAGAGATTTTTTTTTTTTTTTTTAGTGCAACAAACCACAAACTGACTGACAGCGCATAAGAGGGAAGGGGAATTCTCTTTGGTGTTTTGATGAAAAAGTTACACTCCCGCTGCTGGGACCCCTAACAAGGTAACCACAAGTGCCTCGAGAAGCACCACCACCCTTTCCCATGGGGCTGAAAGGAGTCGTGAAAATAGTGTTAATCCACAAGCAGCTGAGCCAACGAGGCCAAGTTTTCAGAGCGTGTGTGAGGATGTGAGACATGGACAGAAAGAGGCAGATTCTGCAAAATGTATTAAGGGTTAAGTTCGAACAACAGGCCCACTTTGATGGGATATACTCCTCTCTACCCTGTTGCCTTGTATTTTCAAAAAATTAGGAAGTTTGTGAGACTCATGCTCCTATATAAAATTTGACTGATAACAACCATTGGTTTCAAAGTTATCAAGAGGATGCAGAACGAGGAGATGCGAAACCAGTGATGCTTACCCTTACTGCAGAGAGCCTTGTTTCCTTTGGGAATTGCACTTACAATAACCCAAATTACACATCAATTAGCATAAAGGGTGATTTTAAAAAGGAAAGGGTTTTTTTTTAATTAAAATCAGTCTTTCACCGAGGGCTGTTTTCGGTCACTGCCATTCTAGTTCCAGTTTCAGCACTCCAAATGAGGAAGCTGGGTGCCCAGCATTTGCTCTCCGCCTGACAGAAGAGAAGTCTATAAAAACGTGTCCTGGTGTCTATTCTTCATCAAACTGTTCTTGATGCCCACACTAACTACTGGGGCTGTAGGGAGCAAGAATCCTCCCCTTCCACCCATCCCTGCAAGCAAGCTGAGACAGTAATATCCATTGTAGCTCAGCTCAGAATTTCTCCTCCTACATCTGGAAAATCAAGAAGGAGAAATACTGTGGGTGCCTGTGCTCCACAAGCCTGTAAGACCCCAACCTCCAGCCTCGTGGGACCAGCACAGATAGAGCTCTGCTGCAGTCGGACCACTGACCTCCAGTGCACGCTAATGTGCGCTGCTGTATATTGCATATGTAGCAATATTCTCAGCCAATATTGCATATGTGGCTGAGAAAGACTCAGCCAAATGCAAACATCTCGCGTGCGTGCATACTAACCGCACAAGTTTAGCTCCCCAAAGCAGCTAAGAACTCAACCGCAAAAGGAGAGACTCAAAAAAGGAGATGGGGGAAAAAAATAGGCTTTACTATTCAAAGATCTGTTCCTACCTGGAAGGTGGGAAAAAAGCTGGTAAGGACAGCTCAGAAAAGAAACAATAAACGCAAAGAAACACTAAAGTAAAATTAGCTAAAAACCAACCAAGCAAAAACCAATAAAGAGCACGAATATTTCGGAGTTACTGAGCGAAGGAAGGGAAAGCAGAGATGCCCAGTCGATCGCCAGGCCAGTACAAACGCAGCTGGGCCAGGTGACCCAAGCCAAGGGCAGTGGTTTTCAGCCCGGCTACACCGCTCTGCTAGCACAGCCGCTGGCTCAGGTCACGAAAGCGTCTGCTTCCCGGAGCACCACACCGGGACCGGGCACGGCCCACTAAGCTCGACGGCGGTTCAGAAGTCTCTGCCCTGCCCTGCCCTCCATTACAGATGTGCTGCTAGCGCTCGCTGTGCCCGGGCACACTAGCATACACCAGAAGTATTTTTCACACTGTCTGCTCACCGAAAATGTAATAAATAGCAGAGAATTGCTATTTACTTGCAACCTCAGAACTATTCCGAATTCTTCATTCCTCAGACCACTGCACCTACAAGCTATGAAAGTAGAAGGAAAATCTCCTTCAAATAATCTCCCCACAGGGCAAGTAACACTCAAAATGTTCAAAATTGGCTTCGGAAAACCTTTCCCGTAACAGATTTACGGGAAAACACTGTTTCTACAGTACTAGAAACGATGATAATCTCAACACCCCACCTTTGTAACAGAAGGAGGACACGCTTGCGGGTGATGGCATCCTTAAGTTGGTCCTGCAGCAATCAGCAAGGAAAAGTGAACAGCAGGAAAGCTCGGGGCGGGGAGGGAAGCGGACGCTGGAGGCCGATGATGTGGAGCAAGGCGCCCAGACTACCACTGAACTTCCCTCGCTTGGTGCTGGCGCACGTGTTCCTCCAGTTACCCAAGCGTTCTCGCGACCGGGAGACCTGCAGGCAACCCTACAAAACAGCCCCTCCGTGCACGCGTGGCACAACGCGGAGAGTGAATTTCCCGAAACAACGGCTCCGAGTGCTGCCAGCCTCCCCCCCCGCGCCAACTTCCCACAGGTCCCAGTTACCCTTGGCAGGCATCGGGCGTGCTGGTTCATCCCTCCCAAATCCCCATTCAAACCCTGCGATCCCCCTGCAGCCTCAGCCCTGCCTATATAGAACACAGACGGCTCCGGTCTCGTTGGCCTGACCAAAACGCAGACAGAAGCGGCACAGGACCTGGTTCTGCCATTCAGCTTCTGTTTGCGCAGCTAAAATAGCTGTTTCCAAGAAGGAGCCAATTGTTTACGCGCTGAATTTCTAACGTTTCGGATGCTGATGATCCATCAGATGAATGAAGAGGTTGGGGTGTTCGAAGGGCATGGTTATTTAATGAAAATGTATCCCAACATATCAGAAGAACAAAAGGTCTGAGCGGCTTTAAACTGCCAAAGTTGATAGTCACTACAGATGACACAGAAAATTCAACTGTCTATGAAAATTTAAAGTAATTTTGGAGTCTACAGCCCACCAATGAAGTGTGAACCCCGAGTATTTGGTTTTCACGAAATGAAAGTTAACCACAGCAATGTCAGCTGTCACCATATACAGTGGCTTCTCATCACGCGCTTGCCTTAACCTTTGCTGTATTCCCCGACATTTTGCACCTGTCAGAGACCTGCATTTTTCAGTAGAGCTAATACACACAGGTCCAGTTAGGCTGCCTTGCAAACA